AAGATAAGTAGGGAATTTTCTAAATACTTAGTAATTAAGTACTACACTTCTGAATCACTTATATTTCATAAAGGAAATCAGTATGAAAACTGGAATATATTTTAAACTAAATTGCAATAAAAATATGATGTCAAAACTTCTAAAATGTAGCTAAAGCAGTACCTAGAGGGAAAGGTGTAGCTTATATTGCATTTATTAAAAAGTAAAGAAAAGTTGAAAATCAGTTATCCTAGTGCCTAACCAACTAAGTTAGAAAAATAGAGAATTAAACCCAAAGAAAGTAGTAAAAAGAGAACAATAAAGATGTGAGAGTTAATTTTATGTGTCAAATTGACTGGACCTTGAGGTGACAAGATATTTGGTCAAAAATTATTCTGGATGTTTTTGTGAGGATGTATTTGGAAGAGATTAACATTTAAATCTGTAGATTGAGTAAAGTAGATTGTCCCTTTCAATGTGGGTAGGCCTCATCAGTCAGTTGAAGGCCTGAATAGAACAAAAAGTCTAGCCTCCCCCCAACCCCACCTCCTACCCCCCACATAGGGGAGAATTGTTCCTGCCTGACTGCTTTCAAACAGACATCAGCTTTTTCCTGCCTTTGAACTCTAACTGAAACATCAGCTGTTCCTGATTCTCGAGCCTGCTGACCTTCAGACTGGAACTATACCATTGGTTCTCCTGGTTCTCAGGTCTTCAGACTCAGACTGGAATACCATCAGCTTTCCTGGGTCTCCTGCTTGCCAACTCACCCTGCAGATCTTGGGACATGTCAGCCTCCATAATCACGTGAGCCAATTCCTCATAATAAATCTCTTTATATATATATTTATATATATATATATATAGAAATACATCCTATTGGTTCTATTTGTTGGAGATCCCTAATTCTAAAGAAAAGAACACAAATAATAGAAAAGAATTAGTTGATTCTTTGAAAACACTGACAAGATTGATGCATCTCTGACAACTCTGATCAAGAATGAAAGGGAAGGCACAAAGGATCAAACCAATCTATGTTCATTCTAGGAATATAGTTGGTTTAACTTTTCAGAATCAATCAACTCACATATTAACAGAAATAAGGAGAAAAAATAGCTTCGTGCAGTGGCAGTATCGTAGCCAATGAGATTTATCCGAGGCACAATTATTACTAATTGAAAACTTGGTTCCCAATACCCTGCCATGGCAACTTGAAATACAGTTGGCATTGGCAATTTTTGACTGTCTCTATGGAGACTGAATTTTGTTGATTTTTTTAAAAGAGAAAATATATATGACAATAAAAATAGACACATAAGAAACATTTAATAAAATTCAGTTCCTTTCATTATAAAAATCTCTTGGTATACTAGGAAAAGAAAGAAACTTGATTAATCTGAATTTCATTAATTTACTTAGTTATGAAAATATCCTCCTTAATGATAAATTAATGTAAGTTTTTCTTCTGTGATCAGAAACAAGACAAAGATGCCTATTATATCTCTCTTCAGTGTAACATTGCACAGCTATTCACAATATTAGTTGTTAGAGAAGATGAGATGGAATTGGAACTCATGCACAGCTTGTGAAAATGAAATAAACTAATACAACCACTTCAGAAAACTGCTTGGCAGTGCCTATTATAGTCAACATACTAGTATCTTAAGGATCAGTATATACCTGACAGAAATGCATATACATGCTTACCAACATATATGTGCAGGTTTGTTTATGGCAGAATTACTACATCAACTGTAGAGTGAATAAATTAATTGTTGTAGTGCCATAGCCAAACAATGGAATACTATTTCAAGAATAAGGTTGAATTAACTACTGCTACAAATACTAGAAATAGAAGCAGAACAAAAAGGAATATGTATTGTATTATTCTACTTTTATAAAATTCAAAAACAGGTAACAGTAACTGATAGTGTTAGAAATCAGAATAGTGGTTAGAAATTACAATAGAGATTGACAATATTAACTGCAAAAGTGTATGAATTAGACTTCTGAATGTGTATTGCTTTTCTGGTATTACTTGTCTGTATATTGTATTTCTTGATGTGCATAGTAGTTCATGGGTATGTTTACTTAATCTTAATGCATTGAATATACATCTATAATTTGTATAGATATATACTTCAATAAAAATTTTTTTAAATTAAACACTTTTTACTGATAAAATTATAACATCTGAATCAATTTATACTTCCTTAAATGCTATCTATCATCTATCTATCTATCTATCTATCTATCTATCTATCTATCTATCTATCTATCTACTTCTATCTAATCATCTTCAGAATCCAGTATTTAATTTAATGGGGAAACATTAGAGGCATTTTCACCAAAGTCAGGAGGAAGACAAGGAAGCTCACCCTTTTTACTATTTTTTAACACTCTAGAATTTTTTTTTAACAATACAGTTAGATAAATACAAATAACCAGAGGCATAACAATTGGAAAAAATAAAATGGTTTCTGTTTTGCATTACATAATGATATATCTGGAATGCCTAAGAAAATCAACATTAAAGTGAATAAAAACAATAAAATCCAACTATATAGAAATAATAACCTCTTAGAAAAGATAATGAAGAGCTCATATAAAATAGCAATAAGAAAGTCAAAATAATCAGGTGTAAAATTAACCAAAAAATAAATATGTGGAAAACTTTCAAACTTCCCAAAAGATGTAAAAGTATAATTTGAATAAATTAAAAGGTATCCTTTGCTCTTTAATAAGATGATTTATTATTTTTTCTTCTTTGTGAAATTTCCCTTTTTCTTGACTCTTAAAGTCAAATGTTATGTCATTAAGCAATTTAAAATTTTTCTTCTTTTCATATGTATTCATAAAATCATAAATTTTCCTCTTGATTAAGATTCATCTGTGTCCCATAAGTTTCAATATGAGGCATTTTCATCCAGTTCCATTTTATACATTGTATTATGATATTTTCTTTGCCCATTAATTATTTGGAGATTTTTTTTGTTTCCAAAATATTTGTGTCATGACTTCTAATTTGATTTCAAAGTAGTTAGAAAATATTACCTACAATTTTGATTTTTTGGTATTTAATAATTAACTTGATACTTATCAAATACCTACTTTCTTCAGACATTATTCTAGGTTCTGATGATATAATAGTGAACAAGTCACTCTACTTCTTTGCCTTTATGGTACTTGCATTCTATTGAGAGACAATATTTTAAAATATATATATTTATATATATATGATTTATGGCTTGGGCGATGTTCATGTTTTGGTGTGGTCAGATATTGCAGAGTGGTCTTGTTTTTGTCTTGATCCCTCATGGTCACAGAATGGCCTTGTCCAATGTCTCCTGGATGTCAGGGGATAATTTTCTCTTTTTTAATTCTCTTAATGTCATATTTCCTAAATCATAATATTTTATAATTATCTCAACATTTATGATGTTTTGAGGTTCAGTATTTTTTTATTTTGTGACTTGCTGGGGCTATTGCTAGCAATGTTTTATAAACAGTATGATTTTTATCTTTCAGATATTTCCTTTAAAAATATAATTGTGTTTTAGAAAAGTATTTAATTATATCTTGGGGCTCATATTTGGATAGAATATATTATTCATTTTCTTGCTTAAGTGATATTTTCTGAACTTCTTAGACTAAGACCCTTTCCCATAGTCTTATATACTCAGTAGAAATTGCTTTTACTGTTCATCATTTTCTCTAGTATGTAAAAAGGATAGATTTGAAGTTAAAACATGTCTTAGTATAGTATATATGACTTCATTTTTGTTTTAAGATATATTATTCAAATATATATTTTAATTTAGACATTTTCCTTTAGGAAGTCATATATGCCATTTCCTTTAAGTTAATATGTAAAAAACTAATTTTTTTGTGCCAAATCAATTTTAACCTTTATTTTGTGTGATTTAATAATGAAACATTTATGTTATTGCTTCAAAAATAAATATACATTGCTTTAATTACCTGATATTTGAAATTTTTGTGTATTTTCAGTTAAACTACTAGCTGGTTTACTTTTGTTACTTTTTGTGTCTCATTATAAAATATTGAGGTAAGTGATAGGAGTATCAGGAGGCTATGTAAGGAGTAGGTTATTGCCACCACTATATTTTCTGGTTTTATCACTGGTTTTTGAAGTTATTGGAATTTCAGAGGAATGCTATAATGTACTTCAGAAAAATCATCTTAAAGCAAAACAGTCAGAAACGCTATTATTGTTTTAACACTGGCCAATTTTATCCTCCTTTTTTCCCCCTTAACCAATGGTAGGTTATATTTTGTTAAATTTATATATCATTGGTAATAAAAAAAATAGGAAGACTACAAATAATAATTCAGAGTCATATAACAGTAAAAATCAGCATGGTTATAATTGTTTAGCTGAATGACTGAGTCTTGAAGATCACCATCTTATAATCATTATCTGTTCTCAAATGATTGTTTTAAAATGGTAATGTGTATTTTTGTTCATCATTGTATTCATTTATTTAAAATCAAATATCAATCATTTTTAATGATGTGAACCTTTAGATTACTGAAGTTTCATAAACCATCAGTTTAAATACTCACTTCAAAGAGAAAATAGGATTTGATAAAAAGAAATGTGAAGCCAAATTTGTGGGCATATTTTTCAAGTGCATAGAACTGAATGGCATATACCTAGTAGGTTAAACTTATTCCATTTCATCTTTTAGTTCATCTTAATTTTTCTATCCCATTTTTCTTTTCTTCCAATTTTCATACTTATTTTTATATCATGTGATATACATTTATATTCCTCCTCAATTTTTCTTTGAAATGAGGCAAAGCTCACTGGTAAGTATTTATATTGAAGTTGAATTGATTTGCTATTTTATTAATGTAGGAAAAGTTCCAGGAAAATTGGTATTCTAAATAAGATTGTGTGATGTGGTATGATTTTACTTTATTACCATTAAACTTTATTTGAAACAAGTTAAAATTAATGTTAGAATTAAGAAAATGATTGTTCTAATGTTTTTCAGCTGCTAATAGGTTATGAAAATGGTACTGTAGTGTTCTGGGACTTGAAATCTAAAAGAGCAGAACTGAGAGTTTATTATGATGAGGTAAGTGATTTCTACTAAAATATTTGAAAAGATATTATGACTTTGTGCCTATTTCCTACTCTTAAGCTTTGTACTCTACCAATATTTTTGGCATTGGGAAACTGCCTGATTCTGAACCAGTGCCTCACACTCTCTTCTGGTTTTGGTTTTTACTTTGAGTGTCTTTTATTGGGCTCATTTTTCTCTTCGTACCATATATTCTTCTTTTTTAAAATTTAAAATTTTTTTATTTTAAAGGTGTGGGGGTATAATTCAGAGTTAGGTATACAAATGTTCATTATGCAGGTACCTTGTTTATGAGCTGTGCCTCACCCCCCACCCCCTAACAGTTTCCAGACTTAAAAATGTGGTACATATACATAATGGAATATTACACAGCCATAAAGAAGGAAAAATTATGAACTTCACAGCAACTTGGGTGGACTTAGCATCTATAATACTGAATGATATATCACAGAAACAAAGAACTGAGTACCACATGTTCTCACTCATAAGCGGACCTTGAACAATTATCATACTGCTATAAGAAAGAGATGGACAGTAATGGGAAACTGCCAGGGGAAGAAGGGGATGGGATTGGCAGTAGTAGAATCTTGGTATTTGTACAAGTTCCAACTCTGGGATTTTCTGCTAAGAGAGAGTTCTGCTTTGACTGCCTACTTGGGGTCCTTTTTTGGCATCTTCCTACTTGAGTACCTATCACCTGTACTGTATCCCCAACTTTGTCTCAACTGCTTTCCCTTCCATCAGACTCCATGCTATTCATGACTCATTGTCCTTAAGGCCTCTAAAGACACTATTCACACTTCCCTTAGAAAATTCATTTTCAGTGGCAAAAAGTATAATGCGGTTGAAAGGCTTATCTTCTAATGCTTTTATTAATAGTAATACTTTAGTGATCACAAGATCTTGAAGTCAGTATTATTGTGCATAATTGAAATTTGGTTAGTTTTTCATTTAGGGGAGGCAAGAAACTCCCATCCATCAAGGAATAGTTTCCCAGTTGACACTTCAATTGTTCAAATATTGACTATAATTTGAACAAATATTGTCAAATTATTTATCTCTTCATAAGAGGCTACTGTGAAGACTAGGGACTCAAGATGAAAAGGGAAATTACCTCTTTAGCTGTGGAAATAAAGGTAATCATCTACACTCTTAATTAAATTTGAAAAATGGTGCAAGTGGGGAGAGATAGAAGAAAAATATAGGTCAAAAATATCTGTCCAGTAATACCTACTCTTGTATGAGAAGAGCACCAAATAATTTAAGGTAGCACTGAAGTAATTAGAAAAAGAAAAACATACTGATTTCTTTTAGAACACTTCTTCATTTTATCATTGGAGAAATAAAATATGTCACTGAATGAAACTATAGTCATCCTAGGATACTTTACATGCATGTTCTCCCATCCCCTCATAATGGTAATTATTCAAGTTTTGGTACTTAAAAATATACACCTTCACCTAGGTCATAAACTGCACAATTCATGCTTAGTGATTCTTTCAAATTAAGATTTTCTGGTATGGGATGGTAGTTGTCATAGTGGTCAAGAGTTCAGAAGTAAATGAAATAGCAGCTGGGTAATTTGATCTTAATTGGTGAAAAATAACCTGACACATAATGACATACAATTATGTTCTTTACATTCAACTTCTGAGAATCTTGAATCATAAGAAAAGAAGGTCCTAGGGAGCTAAACTAGAATTTTCCTTTTTTATATACACAACTTATAAAGATAGGAGTAGATATTCCTCCTCTCAAGATTAGCAGCTAAATAAGAGTTTAGATATCATCTGGGTATTTAGCCAGTTGGAATTAGAATAATCAGCTAAAAAGAAAATCCAGAGGAAAATACTGAGTCACTTAGTTTTCCTATGGCCTTATGGAGTATGAAAGGAAGTCTTCAAGCCTTAAAAATAAAATAAAAATAATATTGCAATTAACTTTTAAAATAAGGATTAACAACAGCCTGTGAGTCAGTAGAATACCACAATATTCCTGTTATACCTAGAAATTATTTTATATATTGACACCTGATATATGTATATAAATTTCTCTACTTATCTACTTTAATGCATAATTATATGTTCTATCATCTTAATAGAGATAGTCATATACTTCATTTACTGACTATTCAAACTTTCCTCAGCACCTTACCTCTCATGTCTAGAAACCATATTTAATGCTTAACTCAAATGGTTTTTCATAAGTAATCAATGATCTTTTCATTACTATACAGTGACCCCTTCTTAGTCTTTAAATTCCTAATCCTGTGACTTTATGCTAGTTCCACCTTCTTCAAATCATTTCTTCATTGTCTGTGTCTTTCTGCCTCATTTATCAGCCTCCTTTCTCCACAACTGATTCTTTCCTTAGCTCTCATTTAAATTATAGATAATCTTCAGGGTACTATGATTATCTTTTCTTATCTCCCCAATTTATATTTATTTATATTTGTATCTTCTCCCATCATTTAAAATATTACCTTTATGTAAAAAAATTTAACATCCATACATCTCTATCCTGAGCTGTAGATCTAAATATATAATAATCTCTTAGAATATATCCAGATAAATATCCTATTGGCACTGGATTTGTATTTAAATACCTGAAACTCCTTTTTTTAAGCTTTGTTTAGTTAATTTAGCTTAGAACCCATACAGTAATATTTATCTTTCTTCATCATATATCATATGCTATCAGTTTTTACAGTCTT